TTGTGGCTAGTAAAAAGTTGTATTTTTATTTTTGGGTAGTAGGCACTGAAAAGTGTCACCTGTGCCAGCGCATCCTTTCACTGACAACGTGTGTGTGTGTGTGTTTAAGGCATCAACAGGTAAGCAGTGGTCATGCTCCAGTGGACGCCTGCCAAGTGCTAATTAGAGCATTCAGTGCAGAACCTCTACCTCTACATTCATCCAAACAGTTAACAAATAAAAGCAAATTTAGGCATTTTATTTAATTTACAAGCAATTAGTACATTTTGGTGAAACATCTTTATGATTGAATCATAATTAAAAAAACTTATACAGTCAAACAATCAAGAACCAAGTTTAATCGTGTGATAATTTTGTCTTGAACTCGGTGAATCATTTCATCGCAGATGTTAAATAAATGAATGCTTTTGATCCATTCATTGTACAGGTTTTCCTTTTTTGTTTCTAATTGAGCAGTTACGTCTGCCAAATCATTAGACAAATCAGCATTGTTTTCCGTATCAGTACAGTTCTTCATTTGTTTTAGCTCCTTAAGACCAGTTTCAACTGTCTTGCGTTTTTTAAAAAGAAACTTCTGATGAACCACGAGCAGATGCAATATTCCAGACAGTTTTTCCATTAAGATTTCTAATTTTTCAAAGTTTTGCATAAACAATTTTGGTTGTTTTTCAATGGAAACAACATCGTCAAGCAAAATATCTGGAAACTCGAGTTCAACGTCTGTGGAAAGCTTTTCAAAATAAGATGAAATAATTTTGAAAAAACTGATGCTTTCAGCGATGGTTGACGTTGAAGCAGTTGACGCCGTGCCCAAGAGGTTTTGACCTCTGTTTTCACAAATAAAATAATCTCCACATTGACTTTGAGGTGTACTGGGACGTGCTGGAATAACTCGAAAATTTTGACGTCGGCGGTTAAATGGCACCTCTTTACGAAACGGATCGTTACGATTAAACTTCATTTGAGGTACAATGGTCTCATTGCTGGAAGCCAAAAACAGATCGGACAAAGATGATTTTGAAGTCTGATTGGGAGTAGATTCCAAAGCTTTGCAAACATCAATTTTGTCATCTTCGCCATCTTTGACTTTGTAATTCAGTGATTGACAGTGTGCCATTGTGTTGTGTGATAGTGAATTTCGGTAATAAATTGGATTTATGAATTCACTGCAGCTCACCACTTTTAGTGATTTGTCGAACTGAGCAGTTTTGTGGGTGAGCTAAAGATTATATAAACTTAAAAGCAGCATATGAAAGCAGTTTTGCAGAGAAAATGTAACCAATTCACCACCATGAAGTTCTGTCTGCAGCTTATGCCTATTGTTGAGCGGGGGTGAGCGACTGTGATTTACTTGCAACCGCTCATTGGTGTTACCATAGAGTAAACTGAACTGCTCAAATGAAGCCAATCAATCAGCGCCTAACAAGCAGGGGAGCTCAGGCACTGCTTAGAGCGAAGTGCCTCATAACGCCTATTAATTTGTGGAAATGGCCCGCAACCGTCTTCTACATTCTTATTTGCCGTGGCTGTTGTCTAGGTACCATTTCTGCTGCCTGGAAAGTCAAAGTGGAAAGTGAACAAAGTTCAGGCGAGGGAGTTAGCTAGAAGGGGAAAGAGAACGGAAAAGGGCAAAAGGGCAAAAGGGCACCCACCAGCCAACAGTTTCCGGCCAATTGATTCTCAGTCAGGCACACTGTGCTGAAGTACACTGTGCACCCCTCACTTTAGACCTCTCAGACGGTTCACTGCCGTTGTTGTACTGCTTGAGTTGCCCAACAAACTCGCGCCAAAAACTTTGCGCGATCTGAGCTGCCTGAGAAAGTGCCTGTTGCCATGGTTTTCCGCCCAGTGCGCCCCCTCAACCTCTTGGCCAGGTCACCTTCGCTGCGACTGTCGACGAAGACTGTGCATCTACACTGCATAGAGGATTACTTTCACTTCTCTCCTTCTACCGCCCTCCTTCTCACCGAGGATGCACTTCCGACTGTGCTTCCTGAGCTTGCTGCTCCTTCTCCTCTTGGCCTTCACTGCCATGACAACCGCTCAGTCAAATGCGGCTGCGGCGGCGGAAAGAGGTAAAACTCTTACCTTGTACTAATATCTCTTAATTAGTGAAACACTGTGCTCCTTCTAGATGGCCCTAAAGAGAGACTGGTGCCGCCTGACCTGTTTCTCAAGCATGCTGGCGCTTTTTCCAAGGAAGTTTGCAAGCGCCTCTTTGATGGAAGCCCAAATGGTGAAGCTGGACAGTATGATGGTCAAGCCAATGGTTGATGGTCAAAATGTGGCTGAGCACTCGTCGGTGACCGAATTTGACCGTGCTGCAATTGAAGAGAACTTGATTGTAGTAAATTTCATTCTCATAATCTCTACTTTGCTTTCATCCGCTCTACTTTTGATTAATTTGAGCCTCTTGATCAAACGCATTTAACAATATCAATGCAACGCTCGTATCCATTTGAAATAAAAAACTAAAAATATTTTATTTTTAATTTGTGCTTTTTTTCTTGTTCACTAATCAACAGTATAAGATATATCACAGGTGTCATGAACCCCTGCCATTTTATTCTCTTTCTGACAGTGTCTAGACCTGTCTAGGCCTGATCTGAAGAGCACACTTTTTTACTAGTAATGACTGTCAGCTCAAAGTCTCTTTAGCTCTCTTTTTCACTGCTTCAATGGCATTTAGTGCAGTATAAACAACCGGTGCTGTGCCGCAGTAACAAGAGACAGTGAAGAGAAAACAGAAAGTGTCTGCCTTTTTTTAATAGCCGTAACCCCTTTTCTCGGAATAGTGAGTTTTTCGTTTGGCGAATCAGTCTGCTCTGCAGGCGGGGGTCTCTACCAACTGTGACTGCTCAGGTGTTCATAAACTGACGAAGCTATGCTCACTCAGCTCACTCTCTACCTGACTGTGGACAGAGCAACAACGACAACAACCACTGACTAGCAAACAGTTCGTAGTCTCTGCAATCTCAACGAAAATGCCTACAAACTCCAAAGTCATCGTGTCGGAAAAGACTTTTTTCCGCCTGGACATCTTCACTGCAGTGAAGGTGATGCTAACGGCAATGGCGATTGTCATCTTAATTGCTGCAGCAATCAAACTCTACAAGTACTTGATCAAGAAGTACCTAAGCGTTGAATGGGTCGTGCCACACACTGAGCCGGAATCCGACAATCAATCTGACGAGGACGAGAACGAAGACGAGGACGAGGACGAGGTCGAGGTCGAAAACGATAAAGAAGAGCAAGATGAAAAAGTAGAAGAAGACGCAGTTTGAAACAGCTGTATTTAACATTCAGTCGTTCTCTTGTATTGATTTGCCTTAAATTGATTTGCCTAATTCAAATAAAATACAATAAACACCAAAAAATGTTGTTTTAATTCTTTGTACAGTATTGTCAGCAAAAATAAAAAATCAGTTTTCAACTTTAGAAAAGCTAAAACCTTCTGCTAATTAGCATCTAATGATGATGATGACCGGTGAATGTCACTGTCCATCGGACAAACTGCCGATATAAACGGGCGCCGTTCATCACCGATAACCACTGTCAGTCAGAGTTCAGCTCACACCATTTTTCAACCCATTTTCAACAAACAAACACCTGTTGGTTTCAATATGGCCCCACTCACCAACACCCTCATTGCAGTGTTGTGTGAAACCAACTAATTCTATCTTATTGGTAAAGTGTGATTTTTTCTGTTTTCTTTCGAGTATAGCCTTTTCATTTTTTCTCATTCAGATCATTTAACATGCCAGGGCGCATTTCAAAAGTTCACCACCGTTCAACACTGTTCAAGTTTGATGGTTTTCTCATCAAACGCACCCTCGTTGTACTCTCTGCACTTTGGACAGTCCAGCTCTATTGGGCTGTTCCCAACGTAGAGCACTATTTTTTTTGGCCAGGCGGCACTTTTCAAAGACGCTAAGAAGAATCATGCCATCTGTGCCGGTTGCCCAGAGAGCAGTACACTTCTTTTAGGAATGTGAAACAACGTAATGACCGCCACTTCGTCAAAAAATACTGCGAACTGTGCTCGGAAAAGCTGATTCATTTTGCTTGCAACATGAGTCACATCATTCTGCTCTACGGTGCAAGATCCAATCCTTTCTCTTGCTAGCTTTTACCACTTGATTTGGCTGCTCATCATCGCAACTTCTATCCATTCATCTCCTCCAACACTACTACATCTCAAAGTCTGTAAAAGGACAAATGCAGCCATCACACCCATTAATTAACTGTGAGCAAGCCCAATCAGCAAACAAATGCCAAACAGCTAGGCGCACCGGAAAAAAATATATCACTTCACCCAGAGTCGACCAGTGAGCAGCGACGCAGTTTATCCTGAGCCGTGTTAGCACTTGTATTCACTGGTCTGCATGGGTCATCACCATCACCAGGCAGCTAAAACCAATGGGCCGACCATTCATCAGTGCTGACTGCTAGCAGCACTGCAAAAAAACGATAAATAGCGCAAAGTTTCAGCCGTGCTTTACAGTTTTGCAGTTGTGGCTTGTAGGCGGCTTTGATGCGCCTCACTGCATCCGTTGCGCGCTCGGATATTGATCATCGACTGCGATGAGCTGCGTTCACTGCGGCTGCCACTGACGCTCACCGCTACTACTGACTTTCACTCTTTTTTCATTTTGCACCGTTTCTCGGCACTGTTCAGTACCGCAGTCAGCAATCCAGTTGGGTTGTTGTTGTTGTTGTTGTGGTCGTGATACTCTGTTTGTTCTCTCAACCGATTACCTCCGTCTCACTTGTTGCTGCTGTTTTTTTGTTTTCAATTGTACTGATTGATTTTCCTGTGAAAGAGTTTTGTCGACTACATTTAGAAGAACGCCAAGTTAGTCTTGATAAAAAGAAGGTGATAGTAAGTTTAATAGTGTATAGCTATGATAAATCGTATTAACAAGTGGTTTTACATTTTTAGGCAAAGAACTTCATTTTCAAATAACTGCATCATTTATCTCCAATCTTTCTCCTCAAGCATGTCTTCACCGTTTTCGAGTAGCAGCACCGGTGAACAGTTTCGTCCCCCTCTCACCATGTATCAGTTTGATCAGCTGTACAGCCTCGAGAACGGTGAACTGATTCAATCGGGTGGCTACGCCTCGGTCGTCTGTGGCGTCCGACGAGCCGACCGAACTCCGGTAAGTGATAAGCACGCATATATATCTTCCAATGAATTTGGCTACAGTTGCACTGTTTTCGCTTGGTACAGGTGGCCATCAAGACGATATTTTTGGGGAAAAGGACCGAATGGGACGTGGGCGCCAACGGTCGGCCCATTCCCCGAGAGGTGGCCTGTCTGCAGAAGGCGGCCCAGGTGCCAGGCGTCATTCGAATGCTCGACTGGGTGGCGGTGAACAACGGGCCGCAGTACGTGATCGTCATGGAGCGACCGGAGCACGCTGAAGATCTGATGGAGTTCTACAACCGAGCGCCGGGAGAGTTTGACCCGCAGCTGGCGCAAAGTCTGCTCCGTCAGCTGGCGACCACACTGCTCGGCTGTCACCAGGCGGGCGTCCTCCACTGCGACCTGAAGGAGGAGAACCTCCTCATCGACCGCGAGACGAAGTCGCTGAAGCTGATCGACTTCAACCTGGCCCACTACCTGCAGCCGGGCAAAGTGTACAGCAAGTTTGTCGGCACGGAAAACTGCGTACCGCCTGAGGTGATCACCTCAGGGCAGTACGACGGACAGCAGGCGGAGATCTGGGCCATCGGCGTGCTCTTCTACCGTCTGGTCACCGGCAATGAGCACCCATTTGGCGGCGTGGAGAAGATTACCAGTGGGCAGCTGGTGCTAGGTGGAAAGCAGCTGTCGCCGCAGTTTGAAGATCTGCTTCGCAAGTGCCTGGCGATTAACCCGCGTGATCGCATCTCTCTGCAGGACATCCTTCAGCATCCGTGGGTTAGTCAGTTGAGTTCAGCGGTTGAGAGCGCAACTGAAGGCGGTGATAATCTTCAGGGCTGAATGTGTTGTTATTATACTATCTAACATAACACAGCTTATTTATTTACACGTTATTTAAGTTGTCTACTGTTATATACAAAATTGTCAAATTGGAGCTGATAAATTGAATTAAACTTTTATTCTTGGTTAATTGGGTTAAATTGGTGACAGATTCATAAATACTACATTTTTAAATTGTGAATGTTGGCAAGTAGTTAAAATAAGAAAAATAGTTGGAAAATAAGTGAAAAATAAACAATTTAAACTTTCTGATATGACTAGCTTTGACTTGAGGTCCAGTTCATCAGTTTAGCTTCTTGGTTGACTCGTCATCGTATTTGGGAACAGTTTTCACTTCCAAACTTGAACCAAACATTTTCTGAAACTCAGTTATCACGTTCTGCAAAGGTTTCCTCTCTTCTGTTTCGTAATAATTGTCAGTGGCGATCTCTTCAGCCGTGGGCAAATAGCAGATTGGTCTGACATGAACACGTCCATGAGCACATCGAAATGGCTGTTGACAGTGGGCTAGAGAATTGAGCATTTGCGAACAGGCATCAGGAGAAAGTGTTTCACCAAAACGAATTGAGCCGCGACAAGCCTGGGTTTTGAGTTGTTCCAGCAGAAAAGGAGCCAGCTTGGGACGAGGAATAGTGCTATTGGCTGGAAGAAGATTTTCAGCGTTTGAGAGAAACTTAATTGAATCGTTGATAAACTGATCAAAGAGTTCTGGCTCCAAGTAAGAGCGAAAGCAGGAGGGCACTTGTTGTACAATCAAAGTCAATTCCTATAATGAAAAATGGGTGAATTGATGTTTTAGAACAACGCAAAGTTTTACCTTATCTCCACTTTCTGAAATGGTTTTAATGTTTGGTTTTTTGAGTGAACATTTCAGTCCGACAATTTTTTCAAAAACTTGCGTTTTGCTGCAAATATGTTTCCACTGTTCAGCAGAGATTGAGTACTCGACTGGAGGAGATACACGACGAGTAATCAAGTTACCAGTGAGTTCATGAAATGACGCCTTTCGAAAAACTTCCAACCGAATTCGTTCATGGACAGCATGTTGATCAAAGGCAAGTAACAGTGAACGAGAGTTGACATTGCCATTGTTGACTGGAGAAACTGTGGTGTTCTTTGACTGAATCAGGGCACAAACAATCACCTCCTTATTTGCTTGTCCAATGATGCGAATGTTGGATGGAATAAAAATAGATTTGTCGAGTCGAGTTGACTGAGTAATGGACATCATCGGCAGCAGTGGAAAGTTGAGAAAGTTTTCTTTGGTTTCAGCTGCAATTGCAGCAACGTCAATTTTCTTTTTCTCCAAAATCTTTGCAATCACATCTTTAGGCAGTTTGTTACTCTGTGCTTTCATTACTTGCGGTTTTGCAGACATAAAACTTCTACCAGCGTTTGGTTTGTTGACATTTTGTTTACCACTGAACTTGGCTGATTGTTCTAAATAAAATAGAAGGTGATTGCTTATTAGTTAACTTAAAAATAGTTTTGTTTCAAATTTCAGGTTAATAAAAATAACAAACTCAATGTTACAAACCATCAAAACTGTTCACCATGACGTGATTGCTTAAAGTGGCGGCTGGAGAAAAAATGTAAACAAACAAAATCGAAGCCAAAAGTTTGTTGTTTTGTTACAGAAAGGCGGGCGCGTCTATTTCAACTCTCACTGGTTTTATCTAGAATGTTGCGCGTTTATAAATAATTCTTCAACTTCTTCTTTTTGACTTAACAAACTTTTAAAATTAAATTCAAACATTTAAAATTTTGCAAAATTACATTTTTTATTATTTTCCGTTTTCCAACAAAAGGTGGCAGCGTAGTACTCACAAAGCTCAACAAAATCAAGTTTTAATTTTTATTATTTTTGAATTTTATTATTTGAAAACTTTTTTTATTGCAAAACAATATAAACAACGTTTTATTTTCATTATCAAAAAATTAGTTAACAACATTTTAAGTGCATTAAAATAGTTTACAACAAAATAACTTTTTAAAACTACAATTTTAACAGTTTAATTTAATTAAAAGCTCAATTAGCTTGATTGAATTTGTTGAAAAGTAATTTATTTGTTTATTTTACTGTATTTGATTTATCAATAATCCTTGAATAAATAATTGGGACTTCAAGTGACATTGAATGTCAGTTTTTTATTTGCAAACAAGCAAATTTTTTAAATGAATGCATAAAGATTTCTTATGGTATGTCACTTTCAATAAAACTCAATAAACACTTTTGTTTGACAAATTAATTATATAACTTTATGTTATAAATTGAACAAATATAAACATTTAAACATAAAAACAAATGACAGTTTTATCAAAAAATAAACAAAAATAACTAAAAATCGTTTATAAAAAAATTGTGAAACAAAAACAACAATTTTAAAACTTCAAAGCACAATTTGTAATATTTTTTATCAAATACTTTTGTATCTTAACAATGGACTTAAAACACAAATTCTGATTGCATGTTTTTAATTTCTATAATAATAATAATAGTTTTCAAATAATTGGCTATACTCGTAAACATTTTGTTTCAGTGTTTTTATCAACGTCAGTAACATTAAAAATGTAAAAATTATTTTGTTTAAAATGACGTATTTTTGCATTTGCGTGTTGCCATAATTACATTTAATTGATCAAAGAAGTGCAACCCAAGCCAAATTATGACTGTTTCCAATTACAAGTAAACACTGCCAAATCAGTTCCTGCCCAGTGACCAGTGACTATCTTTGACAATGTCACTGTCAGCCATTATAATGCGTCAGACTACTACCTAGAAGATAGCATTTAGTTGTTGTTGTTGTTGTCACTATTGCTTTGACCAATTACAAGTAGTTGCTGGAGAGAGGGTTCAGAATTGTCACCGTCGTCAGAACAGTTCAATGAACAGGACACAATGTGCTAACAATTGGCGCCTTGACGGCCTGCACCGTCACTTGTCGGTCACTTGTCGTACAGCGCCTTCTCATTTGCATCAACAACACACCGTAGTTTTTTCTGGTGATAAACGTCCTTTTGGTCATTTGCATTTCCCTCATGTCAAGTGTTCCTTTCCTTGTCACTGGCTCAATTTTGCTATTTTTTTGAATGCAATGTCACTTGTGTTGCTCATTTTGTCACTAGCATCATTTGCGTTTTACTTAAGTTTTTCTTTTTGACTATTCAAATTTGAAATGTTTTCATTTTGTGCATTTTTTGTATGTTTTGCTATTTTTATTTTTTAACGTTATGTTTATTGAAAGATTAAATAAAATCTAAATACAATAAATATAGCAGTTTTTAATTTCGAAAACAAATGAGATAAATGAATTGTAGAATTGCTTTAACTACACACTAGATGGCAAATAGTGCCACACAAAAATTATTTTTATTCAATTTTTATTATTTGTTAAATTTAAAATTTTTAAAAATTATAGTTTTGCACAACTGACTTTGTTTCAATTGCATGTTTTATAGTTACACAACATATAAAAAATAAAAAAATGTTTTAATGTTTTTTAAAATTAAACAACCTGTAGATTACAAGTTGTTTTTGCAGTACCAAATTCCCTAGTGGTTATTATTAGCAAAGACAACAGCAACAACAATGAGAATCAGCAGAAAAAAAACCAAGCAAACAGAAAACAATTGCATTTTGAAGATGAACAACTTANTACACAAGAATTATTTTTATTCAATTTTTATTATTTGTTAAATTTAAAATTTTTAAAAATTATAGTTTTGCACAACTGATTTTGTTTCAAATGCATGTTTTATAGTTACACAACATATAAAAAATAAAGAAATGTTTTGATGTTTTTTAAAATTAAACAACCTGTAGATTTCAAGTTGTTTTTGCAGTACCAAATTCCCTAATGTTTATTATTAGCAAAGACAACAGCAACAACAATAAGAATCAGCAGAAAAAACCAAGCAAACAGAAAACAATTGCATTTTGAAGATGAACAACTTAAGCAGATGATGTCAAAGATTGACAGCGATAACCACTGCACGCGCGTTTTTGGTTGGGACAGAAAAAGCATCCAATGCTAGTGTAATGGTAATGGTGTTAGTTCTACTACTAATACAAGCGATCAACATTCGCACATTATCGCTGGCAGATGAGTTTGCACGAATTTCACGCTCTTTCATGACTTGAGCACCTTCCGCAGCATCCACTTTACTTCTAGCGCTGTAGTTTGGCTAAACACTGCAACATCTAAAGCAGAGTTTATATTCATCTACCGTGATCATCTGACGATGATCATGTAAACTGATTACCTAGTGGAATACTTGGTGTAAATTCAAAGAACTTTTTTTTAAAACAATTTGAAAATTGTTTTAAAGCAACTTTTTGTTAAAAATACAACAGTATATTTATTTTAAAATAAAAATTATATTTTTTGAATAAAATTTAAACACATGAACAGTATTTCTATAAAAGTTACATGTCAAAATATATCATTTTTTTATTGGATTTGTAGCCTAGGCACATTTCAAAACTCAAAACTAATTTCTATCTTACAAATAAAAAAACTAGCTTTTCAAACAAATTGCTGAAAAACAAAAAAATATTAAATTTATTTGAGAAAAAACATACAACTTTATTGAAAACCTTTTTTCCCATGAAGATGCACAATAAACAAAACTAAAGTTTATCTTGACATTCATTGCTGTTTGCCTGCTTAAGATGATCACTTTCTGTACTGAACCTTGTAGTTCAAAAACTAAAATAGTGATGCTTAGATAAACCTGATGGTTGTGCAAAAAAAAATAAAGTGTAACTCATTCTAAACCCTAGCTTTATTAGTCTGCTTTCAGTGTCTGCCACCACTACTTTTTCTTTCTCTGCATACCATCTACCTTTCGTCACCTTTTGATCTGCATCTTTACGGCAGAGCTGTCAGGTAGTAGAAGTGCTACTGTCAAGTTACCCAGATCCGGCATTGTTTACAGTGTTAGCAGTGTTGCTCAAAAAAGGCTGCTGATCATTTTAAAGAAGGCGAAATAGTGAAAAG